GCCATGGATGCAAAAAGCGAAAATTTGCATTTTTGCGGGAAATTTCCCTTTTCCCATTAAGTTATTCAATTAATTGATAGAATATCATTTGTTAGCGTCCCGTCTCCAAAACGACCGCCTCAAGAGGGTGCCGGGTTCGATTCCCGTCTGCTCCAAACTTTGTTTTAAACTTGCTTCAAATGTTTTCAGGTATGGAGTTGAAATATCCAGATTTGAGTTGCCTCGCAGCTGAATCAACTTATGGTTAGCTTTATTGGAATCTTCATTAGATTTGGCTATAGAAAAGTAGAAGTTGTTTTGCCTGATCTTTAATAAAAACATACAGAAAAATTGTCTTGAAGATTAGTGCGCTAAAGTGTCATTCTTCTATGATTAAAATGGCACTTTAGCGCACTTTTCTATCTTACTCTATAACTCGACTTCCAATCATCGCATCGACTTGTGATTGGTTTTAAAATAATTACAGGGGTCTTGGAGGGGGCTCTTTAACTTAAGAGCTCAAACTAGTCCCAAAACACCCAGCCATACAGAACCAGAAAGTCACCCACACCCAAACAGAGCCAGAAAAACCCGCCGTTAGGCGTTTGATTCATAATCTCAAACCTTCATGTAGAGAATTTCTTTCACAATACTCCATTTTGATCACATTGAATAGGCCATCCTCTTCAAATCCATAAAATTCAACAATATTTTGATGGTGTAGATTTTTCAAAGCTTCGCATTCTTTATTGGAGGAATTGTTTGCCGACGCATTTTTGGCAATATGTTTGGCAGCTATTCTTCTAAAATGTATCCAGTTGTTACCTTTATTAGTTGACAATTTGACTACTTTACTCAATTTTATTATTTATTTGAACTTCATAAAACAAACGGATCTCCATCGATCAGGGCCACAAATCCGAAGCTTCCTCTGCCAATGATCACACTCAAAGCATTCATCAAATAGTGTCAAGCATTAGAAAATAAAATAAAATGCTTAGCAAAAATAAAAGCCATCTCTTCGCCAGTTTTCCGTTAAATCAATATCTTTGTTTCACGCTTCCAAAAAAAAGTTTCCCGAGTCAGAGAACTGATTTTTAATCTCAAGAGAGAAAAAAGTGAACTTGTTTCGATAAAAAGTTCTCTATCTCTCACTAGAGAAAAGGCTTGAGGTGAGGCAGACGCGTTTGTCTAAAAAAATGAATAAACCTAAAGATTTTAAAAATCTAAACTTTTTCTTATATTTACAGTATCGATTAACTTACCGGTCTCGAGTATAAGTTCCCCTAAAGTATAAGTTCATCCGAGTATAAGTTCTGCCTTAATTTACATTCGCTTTAATTGCTTTGAATTTCTTTTTGTTGGGTTTTTATACATTTTTATTGTTATATAAACTTTTATTAATGTTCTTGGAGCGCGGGATACTACAGGGTGACAGCCTATCACCATTGCTATTTGTTATGTGCATGAATACATCCAGACGATAGTGTTGAAGAAGACGCTGGAAAGCATCTCTTTCGATCGTCGACGTGGACTTTGACCGGATGAAGAGGCCGGGGAGGGATCCATAAGACTGAGCACCGGAGAGGAGCAGGGCTGAGGCGCCGAGCCACACCCGGAGCAACAAATAACAGCATAAAATTGCTATAACCCTCAATAAATTTACTTCTATTATTGTTCTTAAAAAGCAAAAAAGTTATGCTGCAGCGGGGCTCGAACCCTCGACACACCGCACCGGAGACAGCCGTCCATTTGCATGCGAAAACCAAACAGAACTCATACTCGCGACTTTAGGGTACGAATTTTTTTTCTTTTGTCTGTATCTTTTCAGGCAAACAAAAAAATCAAGTTACAAATTGGAAAAAACGTGCAAAAGCACTACTATTTTGATATTCTAAAATCAAAACTTTGATATTAATTAATAAATTTTTTTGAACAACTTTTCTAGATTTCAGGACGACAGTAACTTACGAGTTTAAAAAAAAAATCCTTTTTGGTTATATTGAGCACGTGTGGCTGACTGGTTAAGTGTCTTTTATCTTAATCGGAAGGTCGAGGGTTCGAACCCCACATGCGACATGGTCACCCCCTTTGGATTTCCTTTCCCTTCGGGTTGAGAGGTTTTCTGGAGGGCAGTCTGGTGGTTGTGGCCCCAGTTCTTTAAAGTGACAAGCCACTCCTTCATCGTCATCTTCCCTTCACCACCAAAAAAGCTATTTAGTTCCCCATTGAGCTTAGGGTTAGGGAGCCGTCTGTCATGACGTGGGTTAAGTTAAGATATAGCCTAGTATTGTGTGTGTCGTTGTATTGTGATTGATATATTTCGTGTATGCGATAAATTCACCACTGGTAGCCCCAGTCGGTATTTTTTTAAAATATTATGCTAGTTGGCTTTGTTTTTTTATTGTTTATAGCAAATTCTTCATTTATTTATTATTTTGTAGATATGGGAAGAAGAAAGCAAGTGTTTTTAGAGAAAAGAAAGGCTCTACTGCGACTTCATGGTCAACATATGAAACAAAATCGCTCAAAATTTATCTATTGGTGCACTATTTTTTCGATTTTGACGATTCATCGTCAAACAGGAACTATTGAAGCAAAAAAAGAAAATTGGGCGACCTCGGAAGACAACCTCTCGCCATGACAATCAAATTCTCGAACTCTCAAAGATGGACCCGTTGAAGACGACAGTGGAAATTCACGCAGAGCTGCGAGAGCGATTTAAGCAAATTATTAGTGCTCGCACAGTACAACGTCAACCAACTTGTGGAGAGCAAGCAGAGTATCATTTGTAATCACTTTCGTGGACTTGTTCTTTCGGGAGAATACCTGGGTGCCAGCAGCAAAGCTCTGCCAGAAGATATCTAGAGTTCTAGAGAATTTTCTAGGGATCTATAGAATGAAAGACAAAAACAACCAATAAGCGGACCTGGCTGGAAGCTTTAAACTTTGTGATTGTCTTGTTATTAATCAAAAAACAAGAGGATTTTGTTAATTTTGCTCAGGTTCAGGGAGAATGAAATGGCGCCGAACTTCAAAGACATTTTTATATGCATAAAGCTTTCTTTAAATACACGTTTTTTTACATTCCCACTATTTCTCTACAAAATGACTTTTAAGAGATTCCACAAAGCTTTTCTTTTGTGAAGTTTATGGACTTTCAAATACAGCTAGTCAAAATGGCAAAGTGTCCGTCTCATCGTTTGAACAGTTTCTTCCACATAAACCTCCTTTACCGTCTACATAAAAAAGATAGAGCACACTCAGTTACATAAGTTTCCAAATTTGCAGGAAGATCCCTCCAACCGTTTTCTTTAAATGACAGTTTATAGATTTTTTGAAAAAATGGCCTTTTGTTGAGCTAAGGCGTCACCAAATCAGTCTCAACTAAAAATGCATCAATTTCAGTTCGGCTTACTGGGAGTCGCTTTCGGTGTCACAGGCCTTTTTGTCGTCAGAAAGAACTCGATTTTAAAAGGTTATTAAAACAGCTTTACCTCAATCAACAAACTTTCAGGTATCATCGAACACTATGCTTTCATCGATTTATCCAATTTTATCATCATTAACGCAAGCCATGTGATCTGGGCTGTTCCATCAGCTATCTGGTCAGTCTAGTTCTAAACAATCAAAGATATCAGTGATTCAGGCATGTCAATGAGTCTGTTCCATGGCTGGATAATATCATTGCAGGAACTGCATTCACAGCAATCTCCATAGGATTTCCGCCAAAGGTTTGTATGCTTGTTGTAGAGTTTTAATTGCTTGTCAATCAGTGCTCAGTTATACTCAGTAGGTTGAACTTCGTTAGTAACTTATTTGAGTCCTGAGACACAATTTGCTGACACGTCGCCCACTTTTCCACCACATGAACCAAGAAGAATTGTAACTAGGTTACTAGGCTACAACCTAGTTACAATTTTACCTAAATATCTAGTTTAAAATGTAGGCCAATATAGCCAAGTAGAATGATTAAAAAAATGTTCATGGGTAATGATTTTGGTAGAAAGATTAAAAGCGGATACGGTAGCACGGGCAAATTAGTGCATTTTATTAGTTTTGTTTCTTCTATTAGAGTAAATACAGAGGTAAATAAGGATCCTGCAGACTGGGAAATAGGGATTTTAGTAGAAATGGGATGAGGAAAGGGGGTACTTTGAATACGAATGGAATTGAACACGTCCTGAACTAGACAACTAATGATTTTTGAAGTTCAATTGCTGTAATTTGATTCTCATAGCTCCAGCGTTACTCTAACAAAAGCTTCAAACATAAATGAAATGTTTTTCTTTTGAGGAACTTAAAATCCACGCCAGGCAATGATCTACTTTAGTCTCATCTCAGAAAACCATTGTGCACTATTTCTTTCGAAATTTTTGATTTTCTAACAATCCAAGGCAATCTTCAAGAAGAACATCAAGATTTTCGAAAACTGCCGAATGGAGTACTTGAACTTTAGTAGGAATATTGAAGCATTTGTCAAAAATCTCAAAGCCGGAAACAAAGCCACAAAATCGATTCACCCCTGAAAAAGTAATAACAAAATTGGTGTTCTAAATGAAAGGATTCTTCAAAATGCCCAAAATCTAACTACATTCAGAATCTGTTTCCATTCCAAAAAGCTAAATGGCTTCAGTAATGGATTTTGAAATACATTTTATCTCAAAATTATGATAACCAGTTTTTTCTACCATCATAATCGGCGAACTTTGAAAATCTGTCTCTAACGAATTAAAAATGAATCAGTTTTCCAAAATTCTTATTTCAAAAAACCTACCGAATCAAAAAACTATTGAAAATTTCGAAAAGAACTCTCCTCACCACCGCGAATTGCCTTTTTTAAAACCTGTCACTCAGTTGTCACCTTCAGGAATTGCCGAAAGTCTTGGGAAATTGGGATCAAGTAATGATAAGAAAGATGGACATGTCTCGAGATTTGATCTGAAATGAGTATAAATGTCGGTTGAATCGAGTGTTTCGGTACCAGTTCGGTCAGAGCCCTTTGTCTCTTCCTCAGAGAGATGAAACTGCTGGCTGCATTCGGCCTTTTGGCCATCGCCCTCGCTGCGTCCTCCCGTCAATGGGAAGAACGATCGTTCAACAAGGGAAACACCTACGAGTTCGAGTGGAAGGGACAGGTTCGTATTTGAGAGAATACTGTAGGAAAGAGGTAGGATCGGGGAGTATGGTAAGAGAGACTGTAATGGGGAAGGACAGTTTAGTCGATAGGGATCACTTAAATAGGATATAAGAAGCGGTACTATATTGGGTACCTAGAGAGAAAAGACAGGTTGGTGGATTGGATTGGAACAGGACCTAGAATTGGGTACTGTATATATAGGAGTACTGTAGTCGATACTTTAAAAGTTTTTGAACAGTTTTTGAGCCGCTTCTTTGAGAACCTCCCAAATGACTCGATTTCCTCAGCATCATTCATTTCCATCTCAATTTGCAGATCGTCTCGGGCGTGCCCGTGAAAGGATCCTCGTCTCATTCCCTTCAACAAATCCACTCAAAAGTCTTCATCACTGTCAACGAGAAACACTCGATTCTCCGTCTCGACAATGTCAAGCTTACCAATGGCCACAAGCAGCTCACCGAGCCACGCATCATCTCTGAGGTGGGGAAATGGGAAAGAAAGAGATGGGGAAATAGATTAGAGATCTACAATTGATTTCTAATCTCGACAATAACTGAGTATCTTTCCCAATGATGGTCCCCATTTCCAGGTGTCGCTCGAGGAGTCGCAATTGACCTCCGAGCAACGCGAGCAGATCAAGCTTCCAATCCGCTTCCGTTACCACCAAGGAATCATCTCTGAGGTGAGATTTGGCCAAAAGATTCGAATCCTAATCCTTTCCATTCCAATCATTCCCTTCTTCAGATCGTCTTCTCGGAGGAGGAATCCGCCTGGTCGGAGAACATCAAGCGCTCCATTCTCAACATGCTCCAAGTTCAAATGAGCCCACGCAAGACCCAAGAGGAGTACAACACGAAGACCGTCTCCAACAACAAGTTCTTCACCGTCACCGAGGTAGATTTGGATGAGGATGGAAAATGAGATTAATAGAACGATTTGATAGAAAGTTCCGATCTAATCGAGCCTTTTCACTTGATAAATCTCCAATCACAGCCCGAAATAGACTAGTACTTTGCTAGATTCTTACCTGGATACACAAGATTACAGTATTTCTAGATAATCAAGCACCTAGAGTCTGATCTAAAACATTCTTGAACTAGCCCTCAAACCCAAGTTCACCCTTTTCAGCGCACCCTCGAGGGTGAGTGCGAGGTCGCCTACACAATCGTCGAATCGGAGAAGAACCGCGAGGAGAAAGAGATCACCAAGTCGCTCAACTTCGAGAAATGCCCCAAGCGTATTGATATCCGCTATGGACCCCGTTACTCCGCTGGTTTGTGTTAATCAAGAAATGGATATTCACCAATTATCTCCTTATTCAATACTCCTTTTCCAGAGTGCTCCATGTGTGAGGCCACCGATGCTCGCCCTGAATCTCAAACTGTCATCAGCTACAAGGTTCGCGGAGAGGATGAGGAGCGTTTCCTTATCACCGAGGTCGAGCTCAAGTCCGAGTGAGTATTTGGGATTGATCTAATCTAGGGTTTCCCACACTGATCATCCACCATTGATCCATTTCTTTTCCAGGTACGTCTTCTCCCCCTTCTCGAAGGATCAAGAGATGCTCGCCACCTACGTCCACCAAAAGATGCGCCTTGTCAACATCAAGTCGGCTGAGCGTGTTGAGGAGCCCCGCAACGGAAAGAAGTCTTCCCTTCTCTACAACTACGAGATGGAATTGGCCCGTGAGAAGTTCTGGATGAACGGAGACGAGCAATCCTACACACTCACCGGATTCGCCGGAGTCCCCAAGAAGGAGCTCATGGACAAGTACATCCGCCTCACCCTTGCCTCGATGGAGGAGTCCGAGAAAGACGGAGTCACCCTTGAGACAAACCACAACTTTGCCCGCATCGTCGAGGTCTTCCGCATGTGCACTGAGCGTGAGGTGCAAGAGATCCACCGCCACTTCTGGGAAACCGAAGTCTATGCTGAGAAGATCGAGAAGGTTCGTGAGTTCCTCACCGATGCTCTCATTGCTGCCGGAACCAAGGTCACCATTGAGCACTTTGTTGAGAAATGCGAGAAGAAGGAAATCTCCCCAATCCGTGCCGCTATCGTCATCAAGGGACTCGTGAACACCCGTGTCCCATCCGAGAACATTGTCAACTCACTCTTGCGTTTGGTCAAGTCCAAGGTTTGCCGTGAGGAGCCAATTCTCCGCCAATCCGTCCTTCTCACCACCGGAGCTTTGATGAACGGTGTCTGCTCAAAGAAGGAGATCACCAAGGAATCGTGGGCCATCGAAATCGAAGGAGAGAAGGAATGCCGTCGTGAGCTCAAGACTGAATGGTTGAAGGAATGGGAAACTCTCTTCGAATCGGCCACTTCCCGTTACGAGAAGGTCCTCGTCCTCAAGGCTGTTGCCAACTCTGCCCTTGATGTCTCCATTCATTTCCTTGAGAAGGTCATCTATGATCGCCGTCAACCACTCGTTGTCCGCCAAGCCGCCGTTGACTCTCTTCGCATGGTGGGTTTGACAATTAGAAGAGCTAACCAATCAGAAGATAATCAGAAACTAACCAACTTTAAAAAGAGCTACTCTAAGAAGCCTCTAGTCCCTTAAAATCTAGAATAACTTTTGGCAGATTGAAAGTCTAGATCAAAATTAGCCTCTGATTCTGGATGACAGCTCAAACTCTAGTTCAATTCTAGTAGTCTAATCTTGACCTATTAAACGAAAACACTTATCAATTCAACATCTAAGGATTGTACTTACACACAAATTCCAGCTCCGCGACCAGATGCCCCGCAAGGTGCAATCGGTGTGCCTTCCCCTCTTCAAATCTCTTCGCGAGCCAGTCCCACTCCGCGTCTCGGCCCTCTACCAACTTGTCCACTCCCGCCCCGAGCGTTCCCTTCTCGATCAAATCGTTCACCAACTCAACATCGAGCCATCCACCCAACTCCGCTCTTTCGGAGTCTCTCTTCTCCGCTCGTTCTCCGAGTCCAAGAAGAACCCATGTGAGACCAAGCTCGCCGAGGACATCAATGTCTCTCTTCGCATGCTCCGCTCTTCTCCACTCTCCACCTCCACCCATGTCCATCTCCCATGGTACTCTCGTCTCTTCGACTTCGGAATGACCATGGATGTTGCCTCAGTCTTCTCCAACGAGTCCGTTCTCCCACACGAACTTCTCGCCTCGGTCGACTCTGTCTTTGCCGGACAATGGAACAAACACCTCGTCCAAGTTGGACTCTTCCAAAATAACCTCGATCAAGTGCTCATCCCACTCCTCAAGAAACTCGAGAAAACCGAGACCGAGATCGTTCTCCGCGGACAACGCTCTTCCTCCAAGGCTCCACTCCGTGAGGCCCTCAAGGAACTCGTTCGTCAGATGAAGATCCAATCCCGCCAAAACGAGAATGGAGAGGATGCCTTCGGTATGCTCTACATCCGCTACAAGAACTTGGACTATGCTGTCCTTCCCGTTGAGGAGCAACTCATTGAGAAGATCGTCCGCTCTGATTCGTCGATCTCTTCATCCGAGATGATCCGCAAGATCGCCAAGGGATTCCGTTTCGAGGGAGTTCTCTCTGGATACGTCTACGAGCACGTCCGCATCGTCCCAACCACCCTTGGACTCCCACTCCAGGTACAGTAATCTTTTAGAGTTCCTAGATACAGTATTCTTAGACCTAATAGTCAGTTACCGGTACCATAATTCACTACGGATCGATAATATCCAAGAATTGACTTATAATCTTTTGCCTATGTCCGAATTTATCTCTTGGTATCAATAATCAACATTTAATCTGAATCCACCTATTCCTATAATTTCCAGGTCACCTCCAAGCTCCCAACCGTCGCCCACATCAAGGCCCACATCAAGGCTGAGATCTCCCCGAAGATGTCTCTCCGTGTCGAGATGGAGCCCTCGTTCGTCTCCACCCATGTCACCGAAATGACGGTCTTCTCCCCCGAGATGGACATCGGATCCCGTGTCTTCCACTCGATCCAATCAACTCTTCCAATCCACGGACAAGTCGAGTACAACGATGAGAAACAACAACTCAAGGCTGTCCTCCGTCTTCCCAAGGAGGAGAAACGTGTTCTCCTCGTCGAGTCTCGCCCAACCACTTTCGTCCGCTCATTCAACAACAAGCAAGTGCCAGTTCTTGAGGAGAAGACCATCCGTATTCCATCGTTCGAGAAGACCTCTGTCCACTACGAGAAATCCTACGGAGAGGAGCACTTCGGTCTCCGCACTGAGGTCATCGGATCCGTCCACCGCCACGTCTTCGACAAGAAGACCCCCGAGTCGATCCTCTTCGGAGAGAACCACGTCCAGGTAATGATGACAATGAGATAGACAAGGCAAAACTTCTAACACGATGGTGATTGAGTCAAGTAGAGTTAGATTAGGAAAAGATGAGCTTAATTGATCACAAACTGATCGAATAACAGGATCCCTATCTAGGGAGCTCAGAATAGTACACAAGACTTAAGCTAAACACAGATCTAGAGCCAAAACTCTAATTTCCAGATTGTCCTTATCCCCACCGCCGAGTCCGTGAAAGAGATCGTCCTCGAGGTTGAGCCCAAGTACACCAAGATGGCCTCATCCGAGTACGAGTCACCCCGCTACGATGAGATCTTCACTGAGAAGGAGTTCGGTTTGGAGACCTCTGACGAGTCTGAGGAGCGTGCTGATGAGCGTGTCTCTCGCCGCACCCACTCCAAGAAGCACTACGAGTCGATGAAATCGTTGAAGGGACACGAGGGACGCGTCAACTTCCGCCTTTACACCGTCGGAGGACCAAAGACCATCAAGGGAGAGATGTCCGTGAAAGGATCGTGCGATGAGGAGCTCAAGGTGTGCCGCTTCGATCTTCAATGCAAACGCTCGCCACTTCTCGAGAAGGAGCGCCGCGACTGGGAACTCCAAATGAGCGGAGAGCTCGTCTTCCCCGAATCCCCCAAGACCATCAAGGAGTTGAAGGAGATGCGCCACAAAGAAGTCGAGGGAACCCTCAAGTGCCGTTGGGGATCTGAGGAGAAGAACGAGATGAACATCCGTCTCCAGAAGACTCAATCCCAAGAGATGGCCCGTTTCGTCAAGGAGATCGACTACGAGAGCAACAAGGGACTCGAGAAATACGACATGCTCCGCGAGGCTTCCAAGCTCAACAAGTACGTCGTCCTCGTCGACAAGGACCTCTCCAAGGACAACGAATTGGTCTTCCGTCGTCTCTTCGACCTCTTGAAGTCCGAGTTCTACATGTCTGGACAAGTCGAATCGATCAGCTCCGACTCTCGCCGCTTCAAGATCGAGGCCGTCGTCGAGCCCGAGGACTGCCGTCGCGTCAACTTCACCGTTGAGTGCAATGGAGAGAAACTCATCGTCAAGGAGGCCTATTCCCCAATCCGTATCCCATTGATGTCCCTCGGATCTCGCCGTGTCTCCCTCAAGGGATTGAACAACAAGAGCTCGTGGGCCTCGGTCTTCATGCCAACTTCCGAGTGCGAGGTTTCCTCAAACAAGGTGTCGACCTTTGATGGACTTCTCTACAAGACCCCATTGACCACTTGCTATTCGGTGCTTGCCAAGGATTGCTCTCAAGAGCCCGAATACGTTGTGATGATGAAGAACATGGAGAAGAACTCTGAGGAGAAGAAGCTCAAGATTGTGACTCAAGAGAAGGAAATCGAGTGCGAGTTGAAGCAAGAGAAGATCGTCTGCAAGGTTGATGGACGCCGTGTCGAGGACGAGGAGGCTCTCTACGATATGGGAATCAAGCTTATCGGTTGGTTTTGAGTTGAAATTGAATGATCAATGGATTTTCAGGAGAATCATCATGCGAGATCACCATCCCAAAGATGACCATCCGTTTCGATGGATACAAGGTCGAGATCAAGGCTGACAAGCGCACTGAGAACACCCAATGCGGACTTTGCGGACATTTCGATGGACGCCGCGACAACGAGTTCCGCCGTGCCGACAACGAGGAGACTGGTGGGTGGAAAAGAAAGCGGATGGGAATTGGAATTGAGCTGATATTGGGCTGAATGGGTTGAAGGTGTTAGGATAGAAGTTGGCCTAGGGCTAGTGGTCTAGATTCACTTGCAATACCTAGAAGTGATTGCTTAGATTAGTCACCGATTCATTATCTGAATTCTTAAATCATTTCTCTAATCAACCATCCTTTTCAGAAGACATCGAGGAATTCCACCGCTCGTGGCTTCGCCGTGACAACGAATGCGAGGTCGAGGAGTCGAAATTGAAGGAGAAGAAGAACTACGGAGTTGAGTCTGATGAGGAGGAACGCTACGATTCCGAGGAATCTTTCTGGAATCCCCGTCAAGATTTCGAGGAGGAGAACATGGGAGAGAAGCGATCACGCAAAATGCTCAAGAAGAACCTCAAGAAGCACATCAGCCGCAAGAACATCCGCAACGAGGAGGAGAACACCTACGGTTGGTTGAGCGGAGGGAATTGGGCATAGTCTGACTCTAAGAATAACTGTGATTCTTAGACATTGAACTACTAGTCTGAGTCACACTTGTTCCATCTCATTCCATCTATTTCCAGAGCCCGAAAACGAGATCGTGATGGTTGAGCGTGAGGGAAAGACCTGCTTCTCGATGGAGGAACAACCCAAATGCCAGCCAGGAGATGAGCTCATTGAGACCGAGAACCGCAAGGTGAAATTGGCTTGCCTTCCACGCTCGGATCGCCGCACTCGTCGCATTGTGAACGGCCTTAAGCGTGGAGAGGAGTCGATCATGGAGGAGGTGAGTGTGAAGGGCAAAAATAAAAGAACAAAAAGGGAGAAAAGGATAGACAAATGGGGAGATTGGGCTGAAGATTGCAGAGACTTACTACGTTAGTCTGCTAGCCTACTTTAGATCGAGTAAGAGTGCTTAAATAGTTGAGGATCATGACACAGTCTGTAAGTTGTTGATTGAAGAGCTTAACTGCTTGAGCATTACAATTCCAATAGACACTACAGTACTCCAATTCCTATTCCCTATCAAATATCCAATCTCCTTCAATTCCTTCATTTTTTCAGATTCGTTCCCTTCCAATGTCTCTCACCGATCGCATCGAGTTGCCCAAACTTTGCCGTGTCTACTAAACACTCATCGATCAATCCAATCCAATAACTATTGAAATGAGCTTTTTTATGTAATCATGGCTATCAAAAGCCATAATTTGAGCACCCATTCCGTGCGAATGCAATAAATTTTGATAAGTAATTTGTTTTTTTAATGTAAAACACTAGAAATGAAAAAATAAATGAAAGGGAAAGGGAAAGAAAGGTAAAGAATGAGTCTGGATTGATTCCAAAAAAAGCAAAGTTGATAGAAAGTTGTTTAGCTGATAAGGAATAAGCATTTAAAATTTTGAACTAAAGGCTCTAACTCTAAACCTGGAAAGCTCTAGAATTACAGATCTTACAATTTGCAATTTTTTTTCTTAGCAAGTTCTGAATACTCTGAAAAAAATTCTTAGCAATTTCTTTTTGATTGACCAAGCTACAGTTACGTGCTACATTTGATTTTTTTATGGCAATCGTATTCCGCGTCTTCCAGGTAAATGCTGGTTACCATCGAAAACTAATCAAGATTTAATAGAAATATTTAAAGTGTACAATGAATATTTAACAGAAAAGCTCAAAAACTTATTACTATTTATGAGTCCCATCTCAAACAATGTACATTTTTCGATTTTATACTTCCCTCAGACACTTTAAATTTTGCTTTACTTTACTCTTTATCTTTCTTTTGCTTTATTTCTGGCTGAACAACGCTACATCAATCGAGAAAACTTTGGACCCAAAAAGTTTAGCCATTGAACAGAATACGAAAAAAAAACTCATGGAAAACAGGATTTCTCTCATGGAATACAATGTCAAGGAAATCACTTTTAAAAAAAGATGACGGTTCAACTGTGTTAACAGAAAGTTCATGAGATCGTTCCCATACTTTGAAAAAACGACATTTTTCGAACAAATTCAAGTTCTTTTCTGTCAAAGAATACAATCTGTGAAAACTTCAGTCTGTTGACTTTTTTTAATAAGGGAAATACTGCTAGTGTTTCAGCTTGTAAAATGAACAATGTTTCACTCGTCCAGGTTTTTGCTTTGTGTTTTGATCTAATATGTTATCTATGTTTCTTTCTTTATTTCATTTACTTGAAAAACCGTGTTATGAACCTCTGTTCTCACCAGACCTTTGTAATCTCTTAATTTTAGCCTAAATGTCTACAAACGTAACAGTTAGTGACTTCGATAACTACACAGAGTCTTTTGTGATGACTATGGTAAATGAAAACTAGTTGATAGTGTTATTCATTCATTTCAGCTAGGATTAACTGGTGTTGCTGTTGGAATTATGGGATTGGTGGTCGTGCAGAAGAACTCATTTCTGAGAGGTTTACAGCTATAAAGTTACGTCAGCAAACCAGCTTAGATCTTGTGAAACATTACATTGTACTCGATTTGCTCAACCTAACCATAATCAATTCGTGTCATCTTTTATGGGGAGTGCCTTGTGCGATTTGGTGAGTTTGAAAGTGTTTGAGGTAACCTCATCCAGTTATCAATGAATTGCAAACATTAAACGAGTTTTGTAACTCTCAAAGCCCAACAGCAACAGTTTGATCCTGTACAAGCTGCGTGAAAATTGTTAAGCGCCCCTAGCGTTAAGCGCCCCTAGCGTTCTTGAAAACTTATCCAAGATAAATTTCATTGTAAAACGATGAAAATAATTCACAAAAACAAAACAAAAAGTGAATAAAACTCGGTTTAACCTGCTTTTGCTCGGATTGCATTCGAAGATGAATTGAAAAAAATTGACTGTGCGCTTCAGGCAATCTTCATCAAAATCGCCTCAATCTTTCGATTAAAGCTGATATGAAAAACACTTTAAATCTTTATTTCAGTGATATTTTACATAAAAAAGATCATCCTTGGCTTAATTTTTTAAAAAGATTCAAATTTTGGGGCCAATTCATACGTCTTTCATTAGGCTCATACCGCTTGGCGCAACTCTGCAAGGGCAATCTTCTGTTCAATTTTTGAGCTTCTTTAGAAGCCTTATTTTGCTAAATTAAAACAAAAAACTATGAAAATATCACTGAAATAAAGATTTAAAGTGATTTTTCTATCAGCTTTAATCGAAAGATTGAGGCGATTTTGATTTTTTCGATTTTTTTGTTCTTCTGTGGCTTCTTTTTTCCTTTTCGCAAGCAAATAACAGTAGTCAAGCTGAACTTTCTTGTACTTGATTAAATAAAAATTCTACCCTCGACATCAAATTAAAAAGAAATACTTTGCTGAAAGATGTCGCATAAATGTAAACAGTTAATTCGTTCACACCAAAAAACATTGTTAGCAGAGTTGAAATTGCGTAGGAAATAATATAGTTAAGCTTTGTAGTTAAGCTTTGTAGTTAAAGCTTAAACCTCCAGGGTTGGAATCCGTAAAATAAACGATGCTTTTGATTTACACTCACAGATTTGGTATTTAAATTTAAAAATCATGAATATTCTGGTAGATTTTAAGCAGATTTAGTGCAAAGGATCATTAGTTTTCATAATTCACCTACGGTACAACATTCTCTTTCAAAATCACTCTACAATTACATCAGCTATGTACTAATCCACAAATCCGTAATTGTTGAAAACGCAAATCTGTATTCTGAATGCATTTTTATGATTAATCCAACAACGATTTCACGCTCGAGTGCACAAAGACAACAAGCACATACAAAGTTTTTTCTATGAAAGCAGTTGTTAAAAAATTTTGGAGTGTTCAAAAGGACGAAAATCTCTAAAAATCAGCAATAATTTCTGCTCTAGTAACTCGTTTTGTTGAGTTCTTACTGTATTCATGGTTGAGTGGCTACCGTAAGCTCAATGAAATTTGAATTTTGTTTTGTTCATTTGATCAGGGTTCAAAAGGCCAGATCAGACCAGGCAAGATCAGGGCCAGAAGACAAATATTGACAAGGTTCTGACCTGACAAGGTTGACAAGGTAGCTTCACTTACCTTCTCTTGTCTTGCTTGGTTCACAAAGCTCCTTGGCTCGCCTGAAGTTGAGTTTGAAACCGGTTTCTGGACGGAATCTGGCTTCTCTGACTTTGACTTGTCTGGCATAGCTCAACCTTGTAAATACGTCACCGGACTGAAAAGAGAGCAGAGAAGTCTCCAAATTGCAAACTATTAGGTTGTCCAGAATGCGCGTTTTTACTATTTTATAAATTTCTCAAGATATCGAACAGATGTATATGAGGGTTATATATCATTCGAAAGCTGAAGATCTCCTCTACATTTTGGAATAAAAAAACTTTTTGAAATCATTCAACTTTTTGGGAAATTGACTACACAAAGGGAGAGGTCGTTTTCGAAAAACCCATTTCAGCTTAGCTATTCCTCAAGTTTTATGGTGTAAAATAACCGCCCAGAAAAGAAAAGAAAAGTAAAGATGCTCTGAAATTGTTATTAAAAAAAAAGTTGTATTGATATATCTATTGGCCAAACATAAAACGGTTAACTCAATTTGAGCGGAGCCAAAACGATCCAAAGGCACCCTTTCGTTTTTTGGCCGCCTCTTCTTCTGTGCAGTCAATTTGCCCAAAAGCAGAACAAATTTAAAAACTTTTTATATCAAAATGTAGAGGAGATCTTCAGCTTTCGAATAATACTCATATATATCTTTTTCTTGATTTCGGTATCTTGAGAAATTTACAAAATAGTAAAAAACGCGCATTCATAACTGGACAATCCAATAGAATACTGGATTATAATAGATTTTTAGATCGTTTTCATTATTTCCAAGTTTCTCTCTCCGTTCTCATCATCAGAATCGAGTTTAGTTGATTCAAAGCCATCAAAAAAAATCCCAAAATGGTGGCTCATTTGGAGATCGGCCATCTTGTGTGTCATTTTTCGAGTTCCTCTGCGATACTGGCGAATTCACTGCTGTTGTTTTTGATTGCCAACTATAGGTAGTCGCTTTCAAAGAGAAAAAATTGTGTCTTTATCTTTCAGTCGTCCTGAATTCGGCAAGTACAAGTACTTAATGATGCTATTTGCTGGTTTCAACATCATCTACCCGCTTTTTCATCTAATATTGATGCCGGTATTGCTAGAATTACAAACTGAACGAAGGACCCAGTAAAAAACTTATTATTAATAAGATTAGGATTCGAGTAGATATGTTAGAGCTAAAAAACGAGTGCTTCTTAAATATTTCAACCAACAAAATGTTCTAGGGTCTTCACATAGTTGGGCATGCCTATGTATTCTACGTCGCTGGTCCATTAAGTCCCTTCATCAGTAAATCATTTGGACAGGTTAGTTAAAACAATCCTATATTGCTCTTTGAAGTTTTACAGAAACTTAAAGGCTTCCAATAAAAAGATTCTAGTGGATGCTGATCTATTGGCTGTGCCTCTATGACAAGCAAATTGTGCTCATCGTCTTTCATTTTCTCTATCGATATATCGCTGTTTGTCAGTGAGTTGATTTTCAAGATATTTACCTGCCTTGCAAAGCCAAAATAATGATTTAAAGGATTCTAGAACCCGACTGATTCCGATGTTCAAGAAGTTCTCGGTTCGCTTTGGCTTGGGCCTGTACATACTGTGCGATGTGTTTCTCTGGGCTTGGTGCTTTGAAACACAAGCAAATTGGTCACTCAGGAACAATTTGGTTAGTTTAGGAGGAATTGTATTAAGTCTAACTAGATAAATATTAAATCTACAATACTAGATCAATAGTTAATGAAATGAACTCTTTTAGTGGTATATAAAAGACGAATTCCAACGCTTTTACGATGTCGACGTGGAGAAGATTTCGGTGTTCGGCGCTTTGTACACGGTTTGAAAAATCTAGACTTAAGAAATTAAGAGATTAAGATTTCCAGAGATCTAGAGATTAAGATTTTCAGTACAATGACACGGATGGCATTGAGAAATATCGAGTTCACAATGCAATGACCACATCGATCATCATCACACAGTTGCTGTGCAAGTTTTTTGCAATGGTAAGCTTTGAATTCACTTTTTAACATTTTAGAGTCCAGGTTTGGTTCACGGTCAATATTCATAAAGCGCTGAAAAATACTC